TCCAAAGGCTGGCCAATTTACTTTTTTCCTTGCAGTGTATTATAGTGCTCACAAATGAGAGAAGTGCTGGATTCAGGAAAAAGCATCAGTATCCCTGATATTGCTGCATTGCGTACAGGTGAAAGACACAAAATGCACATAGGTCAGACCTGACTAACTGGAATAGAACTCTCACAAAATCCATGTTTAGATTTTGTTGAATTGCAGTTATATTTCTGGCAAAGACTAAATGTATTTAAAGATAATGGATTTTAAGTAATGAATATATGTGTCAGTATTGGAGGCAAACAAAATGACTGTATAAATACTCTGAATTCTACCTTTTATTTGATGTTTCAGTTAAATATATGATATTTAAAGTACTGAAGAAGGATGTTTTGAGGTAGAACATGTATTCTTGTGTTTGTTTTTCAGTTTGGTTTGCATAATCAGAAAAAGAGCAAGGATGTACAGTAGCCTCCCTCATAAACCTAGCAGACTAATCTAACTCACCAGGAATCAAACCCACCCCTTCCTGTCTAAGCTCGGATACTCAGTTTGGAAAGCTGCATAAATAAATGCTATAAACAAATCGAAGCATCATCTGGCTCAGTTAGGAATTACCAAGTGCTAGGAAGCATATAGAACAGTTCAAACTCTTGCCTCTAATGTTCTTGCTATTAATGTAATTTAGAACAGTGACTAAAGTAGGCTTGCCTTGGGAAATTAAGGATGATTCACCTTTTTCCAGGCATGCAGCACTGCCATGCGTGGAATTCACTGGTACAATAGCCAGTTAGTGTGTATGGCCTCTGTAAACTAGGCATACTAAGCTACTGTTTTGTAAAGTTTGCTGTATGACACTTGTGTAAGTATTGCTGCATGCTCTACAGATTTGAGCACTCTGTGCTTCCCCAGCAATTCTATGGTACTCTGTACTATTAGCATGTCCTGGAAAAGACTTTCTTCTCTGAGTAAGCTGCCAGGTGGCCATAGCTGATACACAGGCATTAGCTGCCACTGGGGAAAACCAGGGTGAATTTAGTCATCTGGAATACTTTGGCACAATGAAGTGCTTATCCCCTGGTGAATGGCAGTATGTTTAGATATAATAGTGGTATTCTACCAGTTAAGTGCCAAAGAGCCAAGTGTTCCAAAGTAGACTTAAAGGAAAGTCAAGCATCTGGAAATAAACTGTATTGAGAAGAGGTGGTGAAACCCTGCTAAAGAAAAGGAAGTATATAAATGAGGTAAGCCTGCCAAATGCTGTGTTAAATGTTACAGCACTGGTGTGTGGCACAAGAATTTTTGCGCATATTCTTGTCAGGTTCCTGAATTTGGTTAAAAATGAGCTTGACAATCTAGAAAAGGCATGTCTCACTGTTAGTCCTTTTCTCCTGAGCATGTTCCCAATAGGGACACTATTAGGTATCATGTTACCAAACTGAATGCTAATGTAATGACATCTGAACACATTGTAACAGAAATTTCATAATGCAGTGGGATTTAGTCATAGAATAGTTAGGGTTGGAAAGGACCTTAAGATCATCTAGTTCCAACCCCCCTGCCATGGGCAGGGACACCTCACAGTAAACCATGTCATCTTATGCTGCGATTTATCTGAATTACTTATTTTCTTATTTTGAAGAATATATGTATATTACAGAATTAATACCTTAAGCCATGCTTGTTGATAGAGTTGTTTTTAATGTTCATGTTACTATTCAGAAAAGGGAAAGAAATAAATATGTAAAATAATTTCTGTTTTCAAAGTGAAGGTAACTGACAGGCCTACAGGAAGATATGACTTTTCAGAATACTTTGTGTGTTAAATATGGATCCTATAACGTATGAGTTCTATAATCTCCATGTATCAGTCTGGGCCTTCTGCATAGTTACAGCTAAAAGAAGCTCACAGAAGAATCCAACTTCAGTTTGTACAAGCAAGTGGTCTGCTGTAATACAGCATGTCAGATAATGTAGTCACATGTCTGAAACTATATAACTCTTATTTATCACTAGACTTACAGGGAATCCATAAAAAAATAGCTAAGTGGAAATAGTATTGCGAAGTTTAACCCATTACCCCTTGTCCTATCACTACAGTCCCTAATGAAGAGTCCCTCCCCAGCATCCCTATATGCCCCCCTTCACATACTGGAAGGCTGCTATGAGGTCTCCATGCAGCCTTCTCCTTTTTTTTTTTTTTTTTTTTTGTTGTTCCTTTTCATTTAAAATTAGACTATACTGAGGTCATATGCATAAAGAAATATTTCTCAATTCATTTTTAAGTGGGCAGGTAAGATAAAGCCTATGTATAGTTAAGACTACAGCCAGCTGCATATCATCCACCTACCTTTGATCCTATGCTATAGAGATTTATGCATGGGTCATATGCAAAGATAATCCAACTGGTGCTGACAGCAGGTCACCTGCTGCCCTGGCCTTCAGGCCACTGCTGAAGTCCTGGTAAGGGGTGATGGAAATCAGATGTCAACTTCTCAGAGATTACATGCAGAGAAACTGGAGCTCCCTGCACACATTGAAAGGTTAGCAATCATGTCTCAAATATCTGGTATCTTGTACAGGAACAACAGAATTATGTGCAAAAGATGGTGGCATTTTATTTTCTTTTGTACCAAAATACTGGCATGTCTTTTCACCTGGAAACTTTATTTAATGCTTGGTGAAATCTGTAGGGGATTTTCTTCTGGATGCATGATTGCTTGATGAAAAAATTACACTGAAAAGAATAGGGGAAGTCTGGGTAATATAAGTATATAATAATATATATATATTTTTATATATATAAGTAATATTTCTTGTCTAGTCAGATATCCTTATTACTCTGTACTTTATGCACGGAGATTCTTCTGTATGGGATAAAACTAGAAAGCAAAATGCTCTGAAAGATTATCCTTCTCTGTCTTTGTCCCCTTTATGCTTGCACAACAGAAGCTTAAGAGTATGTTAGGGATAAATGGCAGTAATGTACTGAAAGGAATACTTTTATTCAAGGTGGACAATACTGGCTGGATGAAGCCCAGCACTTAAGAGTATGAAGCCAGTTGATTAATCCTTAGGTTTTCTCTTTCTCATGTGTAACATTGTATGCACTTTAAAGTCTAAGAGGGTGGTTTGAAAATAATGGTAGTTCTAATGCAATAAAGATTTATCAAAAGGTGTTTATTTGGAGGTAGGAAAGTGGCAACTACCAGGATTTATTAACATATAAAATAACTTTCTAGTATTCAAGGAATGATACTACAAAAATGCATCTTGAAGAAAAGCTTTCTGAGAAATTTTGGGAACATGGGAACAAAGCTGGGCCAAAAATTCAGCATTATCCTTTTTGCTTTGCTGGGGACCTTCTTCCAGAGTCTGAAAGCTCTACTTCCACTCTACTTCCTGCCCCTTTTTTTAGTTTCTTTTTTCTTTCTTTTCCTCTTAGATGAGTCGTCTGATTTTCAGTGCTTGTTTCTTTTTCCAAGCAGACAATATTTGCAATTTTGACAATATTGTACAATTTGTTAAAACATCTCTAGCAACTTGTGTTCACCTGTAGAAATGCTGTTGGCTACCAGTATCCTTTGCTTTTTACCGTTGCCTATCCCAGTGCTGACAGCTTGCTGTCTTTCAAAGATAATAACACTTTCTTTGAAAAAAATATGATTGAACCTACCAGCATTTTATAATTGATGACTGTATTCTATGTAGATATTCTTCTACTAGCTACAGTATTCGTTACCCTTTTGGATCCCAAGATACTAGTCATAGAGAATACAAGAATCTGTACAAGAAAACACGTGGACTTGATTAATATCCTTAATTACACTGCACTGAACCAAAGGGCAGTATTTCTTATTGGCTCCTGTTAATAATCAGTTATGTCTCAAAGTGCTTGGATCAATAATCTTTTTTTTTTTTTTTTTCTTGGGCACTATGCTTATTGTATTAGTATGAAGGTATTAGGATGAGGAAGGCTGCAAATGTTAACTAAAATCCTTCAGAAATTTGCTATTGATTTACTGAAACTTTGTCAAATTGAAGAGGTTCAAACAGCTCAGCACTTGGCATTTTTTTAATAGAATATTTCTTAGAGGATATTGGCCAGCTCTGCTGAGTGCAGGCAAATACTTCATATGGGCATGTCTTCAGCTCTTGCTGCTTGTCTGGTAAGGCAAACTTTGTGCTAGAGCAGCTCTTTGCTCAAGCAACTGCAACCTACCAGGAGCACACTTCTATTGTACTTTAGGTACAGCATTGTATCAACAGCACTCCAAGCTGGGACAGTAGGATCTTAGCCTGTATGTTGTACCCACATAGAGATGTGATTTAAACTGGATATCATTTTGTGTCAACTAGGAATTCCAGGTTAAATGTGTGGTAGTCAGCAGTCTTCTCTGTATGCTTAGTGATGGCTTGGTACTGCACTGCGTCTCCTTCTCTTGATGTTCATCCTCTGTGTTTTGTCATTAGATTGTCTATACCCATTGCAAAGTGAAGTATCAATGCGATGTGTCTTTAATTTCTTTGACAGTCATATGGAACCAAGGTAATAGTAATACAGGACTGAACTTCTAAAGGTTTCAATTCACTGTGTTGTGTGTCTGTGTATATGCAAGTTTTAAGCTGTCCCAACACTGAATTATGTAACTATATCCTCAGTTCATACCTATAGCTGGGACCTAACTGCAGCCATAACAGGGGCGACAAGCTGCACTGTGCTCCCTGCAATGTGAAAGCATAAATGCAAAATCTCATATTGCTGTTAGTTTTGTAGAGAGAGGGGGGAAAAGAAATCCCTGAAGTGGAAGCGATAGGATGTGGATAACAGATTTTAATTGCTGCTTTCTCAGGGAGTCTGTAGTCTGGTTAAAACAGATTTTCCTGCTGATTCACATGAAAGAAGAAAACGTTTTAAATATTGATGTGCATGTGAAGACTTTCTAAAGTGCCTAGATGGACCTCTCCAACTGTGTTTTTCTGGTAATGTTTGTTGTGTTTTTAATGAATGGCAGCCGCTGGGCTCCAGTCAGGGCCGCCATCCCTCCTGACCATTGCTAGTCCCCAGGCAGTGTGGCCGTCTGTTCTTCCTGCTGGCACTGGAGTACTTCAGGTATGTCACTAACATAAAACCAGAACATATAAATTATTTTTTTCTAAGCCTTTTATTGAAATATCAAATATTTGAATATTAAATATTTCATTTGAGCCAGGACAGAAGCATTTTATTTTCAAACCATGAAGATGCCCAGCAACTGGGTTCTTGAAGCTAACTGAAGCAAAAAGAATCATCAAAATGTTTGAAGTCTATTATTTCAGTTTTACAGTTTTTTTTAAAGGTTTTATGACTGAAAATATGGACCGATCCCCCGCCCCCTTGAATTTACAACTTATTTGTCAGCCCAGGACCGTTTTGTGTGAACACACTAGCCACCCTTCCACCTCACAAATTGCCCATCTCTCTATGTGATTTCAGCAAGACAGCCACCTCAAGGCTTCTTGATGTTAAGACATTTAAAATAAGTTCAAAGGGTTAACATACAGGACAAGAGGAAGGCTATTTCTGTATCTGAGATTTCAGTGGGTATGATTTACTGTGAACAGAAGAACATATCTCAAAAGTAATCTTGTTATCTGTCTCTGCCTGCAGAAAAATTTATGGTGATGTAAGAATATCTATAACAGCACAATTTACATGGCACCTTTTGGCTGATAAGAAATAGCAGTCTCAAAATGACTAAAGGGATTATGATTTTAGCCTCATTATCAAAAATAATATGCTTATAGAACTGCTGACATTTTTCTGTTTTGATGATTTCACCTAGGTGTTCATTAGGTGTCATCACCCAAAATAATAATATAAACGCAAGCCTTATAAATTTGCTGGTTGAGTTTTAATGCTGTTTTTGGTTTAGCCTTTTTTGGTCTCTAAATTATTTTGACAACTTTGTGTATTGTTTTTTAACACAGCTTGAAGACAAATGTTTGCTATATGACTCATATCAGTCTGATATAATTGGCAAAACGAAGTGCAAAGAAGAGAGAAAGGTAATTTCAAAAGTATCAGTGGTACATTCAGACTGAAATCCTATTGATATTTGGCCAGACCTCAGGCCCTAAGTGTCCAGGTTTTCTGAGTAAGTGGCACTTGAACATCTAGGGTGCTTAAATGCTCAGTACTATTTACCTCCTTTGCTCTTGGTTCAGCTAAGATATTTTATATGTGAAAACCTAAATCCTAATCCAATGCAAACTTAGTATAGTTAAGATGGCTTGAATTTATTTATTTTTATTTTTTTTAACTGACCACTTTATTAAGATACTTTTGGAGAGGTTTCTGAGACATCAAAGGAGAAATTTTTCATGGAAAGTAGGAGCACTTGGAGCTGTATGATGACCCTCTCTTAGGACACTCACATGGCAGTGGGAGTCCTTGATTCAGTTAGATGCTCTTCCTCAAGGCAAGCAGCCCAGCCCAGCTTTCCTGCTGTTGAGGGGAAATATTTTCATCACAAAGCACTTGATTTGGGGACTGTCTGTAACAGTTTGGGGGGGAGAGGGTGTTATTTTTTTTTCATTTGGGGATGGGAGGAGAAGAAAAATGTGATGGGAAGAACTCTCTGCTTTTATAGTAGTCCTTTTTTATATATATATATATATATATAAATCCATAAACATTAGACTTTTGCCTCCTATTCTTCTCCTAGTATCAAGAATTACATAGGGGTTCCTAATGAAATGTCTCTTGAACTTTAATAGTAAGGAGTTAAAATGCTAACCTATGTCCATCTACCCCACATACACACCAAAGCCATATTTTTTTTTCCAGGGTTTCATAAAAACATCCGTAATGTCTTTATACTTCTGTATTCCAACATCACTTTTTCACTAAGTTTTCAGTGCTGTGACTCGACTACTGCCGTTCAACAATTTTGTGTGTCCTCAGGTGGTACATCCTTCAAAAAAGCAATTGTAAAGATCAGTTATTATATCCTATGTGACCTTTTGGTTTATCATTTTAAATGACCTGCAGCAGACCCTGCCTCAGGCGTGCACTTGTTTTGTGGCATAGCAGTTTCAAATGTCAGTATCTGTTTTCATTCTGCATGTATTTTGCATGTAGTTGTTTGTTAGCTTAGGATAAAGCATAATGTGGATATTTCTGTTGATAGACAAAGATGGCCAAAACCTTGTTGGCTGGCTCCACATTAAAAAAAAACAACTGCTGTTTCCAGTGTGGAAATGCTTGAAGTTTTTTGTCTTTGGGTTTTTTTTTTTTTTTGTTTCTCCTTTTTTTATGTGTGTGGTTTTTTTTTGTTTGTGTTTTTTTTTTTCAGTGGGGTTTCTTTGTTTGGTTGGTTTTGGTTGTGGGTTTTTTTTGTGGTTTTTGGTGTTTTTTTTGTCTTTTGTTTTCCCTCAATGGGGTCCTCAAATTACTGTTTTCCATTGATCTTCTGTTTTCCTCCCAGAGGTAATTATTTTTCTACAAATCACTGTATTACTAACATGTAAATTCATCTGCCTGGAGAATGCTTAAACCCTTAAACCAGAAGAATGAATTCAAACACACAGCTAGAGACTGTAGGTCTATGGAGCTCTCTTCCCTTCAGTTGCTGTATACTCTTTGGATTAAGTTACATTTCTTCCATATGAATATACTGATTTCGTTCATGCTTCTGATTTTCTTCACCTGAAGTACTGAACCTGTCATTAATTTATTTTTTTCAACTTGGAGGTTTCAAAATCTAGTGCAGGAACATCTCTGTATGTACCAGTTTGCTAGTACTTGATCCTGCTCAGGGAATCAAAGCAACAATGTATGATTACTACTTTTAGTTTACTGGCCACGTAACGAGCGGCTTAGAAACCCAAAACAAAGCACCCTAACAACATCAACAAAAACCCCACAAACAAACAAAATAATGGACAAAATCCCCACTACCAGTTGGCAATAATCCCCTTAGAACAGTACCTGCTCTTGGGGTCCAGGACAGAGTATTTGTGAAGGCATTGTCTTAGAAACCTGCAGTCTTAATTTCTAAAATTTCTTTTTACTCTGTTTTTCCTTTTTTGTGGTGTTTGTGTACAAATTCTTAGAACTTTAAAAAAATACTATGCCTCTCTTATAGCAAATAAAACTTTTATTTTTTAATAATATGTAGAAATGTTTACACAAAGTTACTTTGGGTCTGCGTAATTTATAATTAGCTAAAACCCTTTAATAATCACCAATGAGACTTGCATGCCTTTTTGTGGAGAAAACGCTGCAAACACTAAAATGTTTGGGGGTTTAATTCCTTTGCAGAAAAACCCTTAGAGTAGGTGAAAAGACGGCGTAAAACTCAGAGAAGGTCATTAAAGTTTCCAATTTAAATTGATTGTAAGGAAATTATATGCTAGAGGAAAAAACAATAGATGAAAAGTGTCCTAGATGGCAAGAGAAGATGAATGCTGTATGTTTTCCCCACCTCAGATTGTCCGTGACAAAGTATGATTGTCTAATATCTCAGGATGAGGAGGCTAATACAAGGCCATAAATCACGGTGAACAGCTTTTCAAATAATAAAGCAGTCTGTCTTCTCACTAATAGGCCCCAAATTAGGATCCCAAAATGCTGAAATCAAGGCTAGCGTTCACCTCTGTGTGGATGACAATAACTTTTGTGTGTTTGTATCCATAGATTGTCTGGGGAGACAGCTGAGACCTCAACATATTGCAAATACAAAAGATTTTTAGCCTGCTTGTTAGTTAATCGTATGTACAGGTTAATGAGAAAACTATGGAAGATGTGATGTTTGTGTGTAGTTTAAGTAACATCAGTTACTTGAACTCATATAACCCGTAGAAGTCTAGAACTCAGGTTCTGGAAATACTGTTTGTTTTATGGTTAGATTCCCATGCTTCCACAGAGAGTTTTAAAGCTGGAACTGGTGCTCATGCATGATATCGATGCTGAATATCTCTTCCGAGTCTTCCTTTTTCTTCTGACTCTTTCCTTTTTTTTCAAAGCCTCGTTGACTTTGAAACTCTAACACATAAAACCTGCTTTTTCATTTGGGAAGTTTGTATCACATATAGGAGCACACATAAGCTCTGATAAGATGTTCACTTAAGACTTACTTTTCATCCCGTAGTTAATATTTGACAGAATCCAGACTGGGAACAGCAGACCAAGAAAGTGTGAGAGAAATATATCCATAACCTATGAGGATTTTTGTTGCATAACTGTGAGGGAGATTAAGCTGTCCCATGCTCTCTGGGAGAATTACATCAATAGGAGAAGAAAATTAATAACCTTTTTTTAAATCAGAATCAAATATCTTGTATTATAACAATGTGCAAGGGTTTATGCACAGCCAATACACCAAGTTTCCCAATGGAAAGAAGCAGAAAAGGTCCAGATATCGGATCTATGTTTTGTAATTTTTCAGTCAGTGGAAATAAATCAACTTGGCAGGAACTATGGAAGCAAAAAGAAAAGTAGAAGAGTTGCTAAGAAGTTGTTATAATTCTAATAACTATACATTCATTTAGAAAAAAAAAACCCTAACCAATGTTCTTTCTTTTCCTAGCAATACAGTACAGGACAGAATATAGGAGTAAACATAAGCAGTTGAAAAAAAAAATATCCAGAATTCCCTCACTTGTTTATCTACATATAAATATCTAGTTAAGTGGAAGTACCTTTGCTTTATTTCAATTACAATGGAAGATTGAGAAACAAAATCTTCATTCTGATAGTTTTATTTTTATGCCTCTGTTTGCATTGGAACTTGGAGTTTGTGAAGATGGAAACAAATGGTCTCAGTGACCGCTGAACTTTATAGTGGTGTTGTCAGTTAACATGCAGAACTTCTGATACCTGTCACTTGATTACCTGAACAATATCTGACTTTTCTTACTATAGTTATTATTACCTTAGCAAGTAACTGTGTATGGTTAATATGAATTGGAATAATTTGATGGGCTACTCAGTGGGAGAAAAGGAGAACTCAATTCTCCTTCAAGCTCTGCTGCTATTTAATTGCTCTGCTTTTAGTACACTTGTTGCATGTAAAATAGAATTATTTTCATCAGATTTTGAGACATGGGGTGGAAGAGCATGGTACTAAGAATTATTAATACCAGAAGGTAAGTAAGACTAGACAAGCATTTGTATACCTCATAGTCTCCTCATACCATCTTAGTTCTTCATGGAGCCACCTTAATTTTTCCTACATATATCTCTCAATTTAAACAAAACTAAAAATACACTTGCAAGAATTGGGATAATTTAAATAAAAGAACACTTGGTTTTGGCAAAAAAAGAATGGAAGTGAGAACTTAAGTTCAGAGCTCTCAAGTCAAATTTGCTTTGCTCTTCAGTCTTTGTTCCTTTATTCTTGAAAATAATGAAAATGAAATTTGTACATATCTTTTTATCTGTCTCTTGATTATCTTCTGTTATAGAAAATTAAAACACAAATTTGATCATTACATAGCATTTCCAGTGCTTGAAAAACTATTTTTCATCCACTTTCCATCCTTGAAAACACTGCCAGCCTTTGGTCCCTCTTTCATGACAAGAACATGGAAACTACCTGTGCAAAATCAAAAGCTTTTTTCATTGTACATCTAGAATAGTCTCAGAGAAAAGTACACTTAAAATAAGAACTTTACACTGAAACTGATTCAAGTAAATCAATGATTCAGTTGAGCTAAAATTTGTATTTCTCGGAAAAAGTAGCCATTGAGAACCTCAAACTTTATAACTCTCTTATAAAACAGAGAATGCCTATTGATCGTCTTGATCACCAGTGTTCTTTTATTGATTAAGAGGAAGGGAAGATTTTATATATATATATAATATATATATATATATGGTTCATACAGGAAGTGAAGGGAAAATTTGTATGACATTTAAGTGTCCCTCTCTTATCCTTGTCCTGTAAGACAGTATAGTTCTCTAATGACTTGCACAAGGTGATTAAGACGAAATGCTATTGATTCACTGCAAGTTAATCCCCCTACAAGGGACAATTTATGTACAACAGCTTCCAAATATTCTCTTTAATGTTACTCTTCAGCTGGCTTGCCTTCAGTTTTAAAATGATTCTCCAGTAGAGAAATCTCAGATGTGGGTTGTACTGAAAACCTCTTCCTCTTGCAACTAATGCACTTTGCAGGGTGCAGACTACATATCTGTATGAAGTTCTGTGCTCTGCATGAGCTAAAATAGTTTCAAGGCTTGATCAGTATTGACAGGTTAATTTAAGGTAAAATTGCATGGACCTCAAAC